AAATTATTTTTTCTGAGCGTTGCATGTTACAAAATCCTCATTGGAAAGAATTGAGTTTATCCTCTATTAGTTTAAGATTGAAGACGGGAAATATCGGTCCACTCCTCCTGGTACGTCCCTCACAAATTTTCAATATTTATAAATCCAATATCAGCAGAATGAAATGCCCGATTTGAATCAAAACTTTGCTCAAATTATTATATTTACTAAGCCTTCACTTATATAAACTTTTTTTATTTGAAGCAGATTGAATAACCGATTTCAACAACATTATATCCGAAACCTCTTTGATAAGAACATATACCTTATATAAAGCTAATAATAAAACCTGTGTGTAACGCGGATGGTCTCTGCCAACACCGACTGACATATTTTATTTGTTATTACAAATATAAAGTTTAACCTTTCCGCTCTATACTATTCTTAGTACTTTTTAGTGCAAAACAAAATGCGAAAAGCATTATTTTTCATAGAAAATTTCAGAATTCTATCTTACCCGTACCAGTATACAATGTGTTTTAGTACTGTTTAGAACATATTCCGTTCTACCGTACAGAATATTTAGTACTTATTAGTAACATTAAGAACAATTTAGTACCATTTACACTAACCTACATGTAAAATATCAAGATTCGTCTGGGCGTTGATGATCAGTCAGTCACTTATAACACAATTATATTGACTATTTTACATAGAGATTAGGTAATGTCAAATTCTGTCTTATTAACTTGTTAGTGGCACTGGGAAAATTATATTTTTATTTTAGAAGCCACATACACGAATTCCAAACTCTTTCACTTCTAATCGCTCAATACCCATGTACAATATTTAGTAGTTTCCATGCCTTTTAAACCCCATTTAATATAAAGCATTATCAATGCACTATTTTTTGCATACAAAAGCTCCCCACTCTTAGTACAAATATTTAGTATGTTTATATTTCTTACCATTCACTGTTTACCATTTAGTACTATCTTCAAAAATATATTAATACATAGCATAGTCTTTGTAATAGTGAAATCTACCACGATTCCGATTTGCATTGTAATTTTTATTTTCACTTTAGTACTAATTTAAAAAAAACAGTGTGTATAACATTATATTAGTAACAGTTAAAGCTATATAAGAATTTTCCCATTTTTATCTCTATGGGTTCTTTGTAATACAAGATTTATAACTTTTTAGAACTAATTAAAAAACTAAATATGTTTCCCCATCTTTCTAACAGCTTAAGTACAAGTTCCACATATATCTACTTCCGAAGTAATACAGGTTTTAGTACCACTCTAGTTCTAATTTCCAAAAATATTTGTGTACAACATTCTATTTGTAACAGCTTAAGCTACATGTCTAGTTTCAGATATATATTCCTATTTGTTGCATTGTAATATAATATTTAGTACATTTTAGTACCTTCCAAAATTTGTTCACACATTCCCCTTCGCTTATCATTGGTAGAGCTGCATACAAAATCTGCATACCAAATTTCAGAGTTCTACTTCCAACCGTTCCGGAGTAATGCAGTTTTAGATCTTTTTAGTACCTTTTAGTACTAATTTCCAAAAAAATATTTTTGCACATCATTCTATTTGCAATAGCTTAAGCTACATACCATGTTTCAGATATATATCTCCACTGGTTCCATTGAAATATAATATTTAGTACCTTTTAGTACTAAATTCAAAAATTTTTTCACACTTACCTCTTCGCTTGTCGTAAGCAAAGCTGCATACCAAATTTTAGAGTTCTACATCTAACCGTTCCCGCGTAATACAGTACCTTTTAGTACGAATTTTCAAAAACCCCGCCTTATCACACGCCTACGCACCAAACCCAACCTACATGCCGAATTTCAAGTTTCTAGCTTTAGCCGTTTCGTCTGGGCGTTGATGATCAGTCAGTCACTAACGCAACTTTTATATATAGATAAACATAGCCCAAATAAAATAGCATCAGAGTTTAACAACTTTTGGAGCACCTTAAGGTCTGATGGCGCTTTCAGTCCTAATATAATTTCATTAAAAAATAATTTTGACATATCAACACTGTCAGAAAAAAATAAATTTCTGATGGCGCTTTCAGTCCTAATATAATTTCATTAAAAAATAATTTTGACATATCAACACTGTCAGAAAAAAATAAATTTCCTGAAATAACCGATAATATTTATGTTATAGTGGTTGGTCAAACCATAACACCATTAAAATGATGAACTCCTTCTCGGATGAACTTTCTTAACCGATGGTAAAAAATTATCCATTCGTAATATAGGAGGTGATGCAAATGTGGTATACCCATTTGTTTTTAGATTGACAAATTTTTATATTTTATCCGATTAAATTGAAATTTTACACATAACATGCTGCATGTCTTGTTTTTCCATGTATCAATTTGAAAATAATATTATTCTAATAATTTAAGAGATATTTGAGAAAATATTTGAAGTTCCATTAAAAGTGCTTTTAAAACAAGTGCAGGTAATGTGGTATACCACATGACGTTCATGTGGTATAGTATAAATTTCATTTCCAATTGATATCTTATATAATTTATTGTTTTTAATTAATGCGAATTAGCTCGAGATTTATGTCTGTTAAGGTTTTTAATGGACACGTTGAGGGGAACTTTAATTTTTGTTATATAATAATGTCTACACATGACAATATTTAAAGACTCTCGTAGAGTACAAATGTTTCAAATACTAATGAGATTTCGTCTTGTGCGGGCTTTTTTCATACAGACTCAAGGTATACCACATTACCTGCACTTGTGTTTACTGAAGAAATGTCTAATTTTTTCCTAAATTTGTAAATATGTGGTGCAATCGCGCATTTTATTTGATTTTTAGTACTTACTAATTATTTTAATGCTTTTATAATAAAGATTAAAATACATCTGTAAAACAAAAAATCATTTTTAAACTTCAACCGAAAAAAGTCAATTTCATGAAAAAATTAATGTTTGCTACTGATTCTCAACGTGAATTAAATAAATTAAACAGATCGTTGCTCTATTATTTTTTTGAGAACAGCTAACTACAGAATATGTTTCAGTTATTCTAAAATTTTCAGTTTACAAAAAAGTGACATTACCAACCTATACCACATTTGCATCACTTCCTCTACAATTGTTATCTATGGAATATTACCTCATGCGTGGAAAACATCCGCCTCATCTCCTAAATCCTAGCTCGTCCTTTTTTTACTTTCTAAGCTATTTTCTAAGCCACCTTCTTACCGAGATATGGTGTTTGCCATTTTCGTATATATCGAAAAGGTATTCGACTGAATCATTTATTCACCCGTCCTCTTAGAACTTCGTTGGGGTCTAAATATACAAACTTCATTTCTAATTAAATTGTTCAAAAGCAACTACCAAATTATTCTTAAAACAGATGTGTATCATTCTCGCTATTTTGGCATAGAGAAGCAATATTAAGGATTTTAAATTTGAAATCAAAAATGTAAAATGATAATCAAACTTCTATTGCTGACCCAGAAGTTTGAAAAGTCTATAATTTTACGTTACGTAAATTTCCGGATTTTGCCATTAACTTTTGACGAACATTTTTAACAATTCAATCAACAATGGTATTTTCCTACTGTGTGGAAAATAGCAAAAATTATCCCAATTAAGAAAAATCGCAATAACAATGCTGTAAAATTTGCAAAGTATCAATATCCTTAAATACTGAGAAGGCGTTTGACTCTGTCTGGCACAAATGAATTATTTATAAGATGATTGATTTGGGTATTGATCCATTCCTGGTAAAGATTATAAATAAAATCCCTTTCGGATTAATCAAGATGTGGATTGATCAGCATTGGATTCCCCCAATGAAGTGTATTGGCTCCATTTCTTTTAACGTTTTCCATTTGTATCATAAACGCTGGGAAATGTCCAAGAATGGTGGAATTGAATTGAAATTTCTTTTAAATCCAGTATAAAAAAATATCTTGCCATCACATTTGACAAGCTGCATAAATTCAATTTGCACGGCCGAAGTTCATTGCAGAAGGCGAAACAATACGTTGAGTTATTCACATATTTGTTCAACCGTATATATTTACCTCCTCCTCTACAAAGTAAATGTTACCGGACAAGTAACCAAACACAGCTATTATTAGTTGTTAACAGATTTAATAAGGTAACCGCATCAGCACAGCTGTTGGTACAATTAGCTGTCAAAAATGCTGTTTTAATCAAGGTGTATTTAATAAGGTGTAAGTTACAATCATATGGTTTCAAACTTTTTTCTTTATTGTTTGTAAAGTAAATTGTCGAAAACCTTTTCAATATTACATTTAGATTTCAAAAATTGTCTTTAAATTTAGGCTTTTTAACATGGTACAATTATAAAAGGTAACAGCAAATCCCAGCTGATTTGATTTTTGTCAAAAACTTATTGTCAGCATGACAATTTAATTTCTATAACAACAATGTTGTTTTTGTAAAATATTTGTTGTTGTATATGATGCATACACCTTATTAAATACACCTTGGTTTTAATTTAAAATACAAAAAATATAAATGAAAAACATTTTAAATTTTGAAGACATAGGTTGGCAGTTCGATGTAGAATAATTTTGTCATAGACGAAATAGTCCTCAGATGTGGTAATATTGACGATTTTGAATTATTTACGTATGCTAATTCATCGTTGTATTTGTTGTTTATATAGATAATATTGTACTGTAAATTTCTTACTTGTAAATTTCGGAATACCCCTCTTTAAATTAGTTTTCAATAATTTTAGGAAGAGGGGACCGAAAAGACCCCTTCAGCGTGTCAACTGAGTGTTAATTTTTAAAACACATTTTTATCAACAATTTTGTCAGACTAAAATGGACGGATTTCCAGAAATCCTAAACGGAACATTTTCAAAAGTCTTGAAAAGTGGCCCAATTGTCAAATGATTTATATGTCAATAAAATATGGACTTAATTTAATACTTTTATTTTTAATTAATATTAAATTGTTTATTTTATATATATTTTTAGATATTTCGTAAGGAAAACTACGACAAAATTCGAAGTAGCATATTGGGAGATATTTTATCATCCATTGACCGTTTACCTTCATCAAAACGTAATCTCCGCCCATTTAAAGTAACAAATAATGGAGGTAACATACAAATGGTTACGGCTCTAGTTCTTCAACTGATTCAATGTGCTACAATTCTGCCAGATACACTTTGCTCAAACGAACAACTTGGTGAATGTGAAAATAAGGAATTGCCTCATAACCCCAAGAAGGATAACTCTGATATAGTAGTACTAAAGAAATATGAAGTTGCAATAAGTATTGGTGGAAATTTTCTTACCACTTTTCTCAATAAATGCAAATCTCGTACTAATGAAACAGACTTCAGACCTTTGTTTGAAAACTTTATTCACGATTTGCTATCAACGGTAAACAAACCAGAATGGCCAGCATCTGAACTTTTACTTTCACTTCTCGGTACTATGTTAGTACGATATGTATCTGATAAATCTATAGAGCAAAGTATACGTTTAGTGTCTTTAGATTACTTGGGAATTGTAGCATCACGTTTGCGAAAAGACACTGTAGAATCCCGATGCAAAGTTAATATAATTGATTCTATGATAAAATCCATTAAACAAGAACAGGAAAGAGAAGGCGACCTGCCAGTAATTAACGTAAGTAATTATAGCTACAAACCTGGAGATGTTACATGTTTTTTTTTTTTAGAACAATATTAAATTAGATCCCGAGGAGGAAAGAACAGAATTTCTGCAAAAGATTCTTTTGGATTTTTTAGCTGTAAATGCTCAGGAAGAAAATTTAATATGGGACTACGCACGCCATTTTTACTTGGTGCAGTGGTATAGAGATATAATTTATCAGCGTCGAAAGATTGCTGAAGGAGACAAACGATATGCTTGCCGTAAGAAAATTACGAAAAATCGCAATAAAAATGCGCAACGGAAAGGTAATTTGTATTATATTCATATTTTTAATTCACATTTATTTTATAATTAATATTAATTAGATAAATTAAAATAACAATAACAGCTAAACAAATAAAATAGCAAAAATAAGAGAAGTGGGAAAAAGAATAAATTGCATGAAAAGAAAAAGTGTTGTGGTTAAGTTTGATAACACAGGCATGACTGTTTCCTTGCAAAGCTAAAAATTGTAATGGGATCTATATCAGAGAAAAATTACAGAGTGTCGATCTCGTATCATCCAAACAGATGTCTCCTGCAACATGTAAGATGCTCGATCGATTCAGTCTCTTCTTTATCATCGCATAGACCCACAAATTCACTTCATTTTGTTTCCCTCTTGAGGGATATGATTCTGGAGTGACCCCATAGATACGGTTATCTCATTATTATGATCCCCACAGATACGTTTATCTCATTCGATGCAAATCTTGCGAATTTTGCCAATGTAGTAGCTAAGGGGTGGTTTTACAGTAGCATTAACTGTTAACCACCTCGAGCTAGACCGACAATTATTTCATCCCCTTTATGGCGTGTCGTATATCACGCTAGACTTCTCAGCATTCATTCATTCATTCAATTTGTGCGATCAAATTTCTAAAAAACCTATTTTTCGGGTCAAATTTTTAGATCTGTCAACTGAATGATATAGGTACCCGCGATCAGTAAGGTTTTTTACGTTTCGGATGAAATTAAATCTTTTTCGTGAAAATCCATCTATTACAACAGCGGGAATTGACCTTCCAAAAACACGAAATTTGGCAACAAATGTTTTTGAAAATTTCGCGGATTTAATTGCATTTTCTGTGGATCATTTCCTTTTCAATAAATGACCTGATACGGACCTTTTGCGAAAACAGAACTTTAAAAACTTCAGCCGAAAGAGAGATATACCCAATTTATCTCAAAAATAGAGTGGAGTGTGTGTAAATACCACCTCTGTGTACATACATTAATACAATTGCAGTCTTTAATCTATATCTTTCAGAACATACAATTCAAAGTTAGCGATTTTTCAAATAAAATATATTGAACGATTATTATGAAATAGTTATATTAATTCGTAGGCCAGATCCCCATCTCCGTAATTTCCTGGGTTTGGGTCATAATTGTGGCGTTTAAATATAAACCGGACTCTACCAAAACCAATAGAAGTAGACTTATGCCAGAACAGTATATACATACAAAATTTCCAGAATTCATCAAGGGAAATTATTGAAAGATGCCGACACATACTGAATCGTTTATTCAAAATAGTGCTGATGTTGTGTTTTCAGAAGATAATTTTTTCAATCACCATTTGATTCGGATCATGATAATCAGATTACAAATTAAAATGGACAGACGGACAGATGATAAACGATATACAAAATTTTAAGTCTAGGAGTAGTGCAGCTACGAACTCTTGAGGCAACACATAGTTTTAACATAGATGTGTAGGGTATTAAAACATTTTTTTCTGATTGGTTGAATTAAATTTGCCTAAATTTTGAAATGTCAAGGCGAATTAAATTTTATTTGCCTTGTTTACAAATTTTGACATATTATGTTACCAAAAAAATTGTTTTGTTGTAGTAATTCGCCCATGCGACTACCTAATATATGTGCCTTGGTTATGTTATTTTCAACAAAAGAAAAAAATGAAAAATACGTTCTGTCAAAATTGAAATTGTTCAAATTGAAATTTTGTACGTTCGACGTATTTCGGTAGCATTCATATAAATACATGTGTTCTACTTTACGTCGAACGAGGTAGTTGAATTTTAGGTTAGGCTGTTACAGAAACCAAATCGTTTTAGTGAAACCGGCTATTAATTTGTTCATCCAACGTTTCATTGGGATTTTTCAACTTCAGGCATAAATCTTAATTTATTCTGGTAATGACAACAATAAATAATAAAAAATAATCTTTCGTCAGTTTTTACATTTATATATTACCAATTTTAGGATTTTAATAAAACGGCAGAGACTCAAAGCGTTTAGCGAATTTAACAGTATTGATGATTTCGAAAAGTTCCACTAGAGGGTGTCATTTGCCAAATTAGGTGACTTAAAAAGTATGTATATAACAAATAAAAAAGATAAAGTTGTGAATGGAAATGAATATAATCGCCCATGCGACATGTTCCGAGAGTTTTTGAATTCCCATTTTTTCCAAAATGGTGTGCCAATTCCGAGAGAAAGTGCGGTACGAAAAATAGCTTTGTTCAATACGTTACGAACTGCATCCAATATCTATCAACAAAAGACATATGTTTTTTGACGGATTTGCTATTTGTTTTACAACAAAATTAAGAAAAAATCCCTGCTGGCTTGTTAATTGTCCTGGTTTCTACTTGAAGAAGCTAATGATACTGGAACGACGTCTCATGCTCCATGTTGTACAGTTTGACCCGAGACGGAACATTCTTCAAGTACCCTCAGTTCCTGATGACGGATTCATCTAGATTTGAGAGGATTAGGGCGAGTCCTTACTATCTCTACGTTTAAAATTTTATAACATATCATTAAGACTATGATAACATAAATACGAATATAGACTCACCCCTTATGTTTGTGTCCTTATTACCTCATTGGAATGGGTGCGCATTTGCGTTGCATCCTAGGATCACTTGCATATACACATCATTTCGTCGAGCATCTGACTGTGGTCATCCCAGTACCAATGCTGCAGTCTGACTGTGCACCTTTTACCGTTGCTGTAATTAGATAGACATATTAGGTTTAATTTAGTGAAGGAATCTCAGTTATGGAGGGAGACCTCAGCAACATTAGCTTCTTCCCAAAGTCATCCAACGTCCGATCTATAAAATCTCGCAATTTCTTGTTCAGACAGTTGATAACATTGACATTATTTTGATGGAAGACGCTTCCAACTGTCGATTCCCATCGTGGCCGAACGAATACCGGCTTCAAAATGTATCCATAGCGTCAGCTCTGTCGATAATTGCCAATTTATCGGTCACCACTGTAGTCGGTCTGTCGTATGTTTTTTTTTGCCGCTTTGACAATGCGTGACAATTTCAACCTGCAGTTCACAATGAAAAGCGTGAGGGTAAGTTCTCTTGAACTTCGCATTTCGCTCTACGAACTTGGGAATATATGATGTGGCTCGTTTATAGTTCTTAGAATCAGATGCTTCTCGGGCAGGCCCAACCTTTGAATCACCGACCGTTGTCGGGATCTCGTTAGATTACCTGTAATCTGATATCGATCCAGTCCCAGCCTGCCTCTGTAGCTTTTTTCTGGCATGTGCCGACTAGGTGCAGTGGGAGTCAGACATGTTCTCGGTTGGTCATAACGGCCCATACTCTCTTCGTTAGAGCCACAGCAAACTTCCTGAGTAAACTTGGCCGGAATCACCCTGGTGTTCCGCTCATCATCAGTGAGGGTCAGATTGTGTAGCAATACCTCCTGGAGTATTTGAGTTTTCAGAGGGTAGAATACCTTCTCGCAGAAATGTTTTTAATAAGAGTCCATGCTTCGTCCCCTTTAAAGGCCCTTTTCGGCTTAAAAAACAAACTAAAATTAAAAATCACCGATTGTAGTTACAATTAAATATATACCTTTGTTGTGGGAAATAAGAATCTTCTTTATATTTGAAGTAAACAAAATGTTCGAATTTTCTACTAAAAAATGTTCAAATCACACGTTTACAATCAAAGCTTAACTAAATTTTCAACATTTCAATTACGTATTCAATATCTCGTTTTATGTTTGTTTTAATTTAAGCACTTCTAGATATATTTCATTTCGACAGATATTTGTGTCATATAATAATAAAATTGTAAATTGTCCTCAAATAATTTTACTGAATTTTTTAATCTTACGAAATATATGTATTAGAATCTATCTGAGTTTTTTTTTAATACGCTTGATTACTTGAGTATTTAAAATATTATTTAATTACATATGTATATACATATATAATATTATTTTTATTATTTATAGGTGTGTCTTCAGATTCTTCGCACGCTGAAAGTGATTTAGAAAGCGGCGATGAAAAAAACGCCAACGAATTTGATAGCTTCAACTCATCTGTTGTTGATCAAGAATTGAACCTAGAGATTTTCAAAAGCCTGGAAGAACGAAAGAAATATCTTCTTTCAAAAATAAAACCGTACGCCTCTCCTGCTGATATTAGTAACCATACAACTCAACATATCAAGACTTATATTGACTATAATAATGCTCAACTTATAGCACAATACCTGGGAGCAAAAAGGCCATTCAGCCAATCATTTGATGGCTACTTAAAAAAAATTATATTAGTTGTAAAGTACGTACCTATAACATTATTTTTTAAATTGGAGTAATCAGTTCTTTGTGTACTTTTAGCGAACCTTCAATTGCTGTTAGAACTAGAGCAATGAAGTGCCTAGCTAATATTGTGGAAGTGGATCCATTTGTTCTGAAACGAAAAGATATGCAAGTGGGAGTAAATCAAAAGTTTTTGGATGCGGCTATTTCCGTGCGAGAAGCAGCGGTTGACTTGATTGGAAAATTTGTACTCAGCAACGAAGAACTTATAGATCAGTATTACGACATGTTATCTACAAGAATATTGGTTGGTACACACAAATTGTTGATGCTTTTTTAAATTTTCATACAATATATATATATATATTTTTAGGATACAGGTGTATCCGTCCGAAAGCGTGTTATTAAGATTCTTCGCGACATATGCATAGAATATCCAGATTTTAAAAAAATACCGGAGATATGTGTCAAGATGATCAGACGTGTTAACGACGAAGAAGGTATCCAAAAATTGGTTACGGAAGTTTTTATGAAAATGTGGTTTACACCATGTGCCAAAGGAGATAAGGTAATTCAAAATATTTTTTATTTATTAAACATGGAGAGTTCAGGTCTAACAATCCACCCCTAGCTTTAATAAGAACACCAGCCATGTAAGAAGGATAGCGGGTTAAAGCTTACGAAGTATGTTAATTGTGAACAAAGGTCGTGAAATTGGGATCATCTTGCCTAAGAAATATTACCCGTAATATAATAAAACTTATACGACCAATGTTCACAATTAACATACTTCGGTGAATCATAAGCTTTAATCAGTTATCCTTCTTATACATGGCTGGTGTTCTTATCAAAGATAGGGGTGGATTGTTAGACCTGAACTCTCGATGTTTTAATTTCTCCTCCGTGGGCCTCTGAACACTATTTAATTTAAATGTTTCATTTTATTGGAAAATGCTCTGTTTTGAAAGAGTACAGGCAGTACTATTTCTTAAATGACACAAGAGGATTTAAAACAGTGTATATATACTTAGCACGTTGTTTACAATATAGAATATTAATTATTAATGAGTTTAACTAAATTAGAAACCTATTCTTATACACATTACTACATAAATGTTTACATAATTCCATTCCCTCTCGCAACAAAAGAAAATTTAAAATTAAAAAAAAATTAAGTCCATGAAAATGTAATTTAATTGAATTATCTATACTAATAAAAGAGTAAAGTGATTGACTGACTGATTGACTGACTGACTGATTTAACGATTCATCAACGCCCAGACGAAACTGCTGAAGCTAGAATCTTGAAATTTTGGGTGAGGGTCACTCTTGGTCCAAATGTGACAGATAAGGCTGGGTTTTTGGAAATTCAAATTGTACCAAATTTAGTACCATTCAGTACCCATAAGTATTATTGTCTTAAACTGAATCCTGACCCCAATCCCACACCCCTACAGTGATCCTGACTCCAAATTTCATTGTTCCCGCTCTATAGGATAACCCAAATCCAAACTGTACCGATTATAGTACGATTTAGTACTTTTCGTACACATAAGTAACAAATTTCCAAAACTACGTTCATATCCCAATCCTACACTCCGGCGGTAATTTTAATTTCAAATTCCAGGATTCCAGCTCGATTTGTATCTCCAAATTAAATTTGTACCAAATATAGTACCATATAGTACTTTTCGTACACATGAGTACACGCTTTCAAAACCATCTCCTTAAATAGACCCTACTTCTCAACCTTAATTCACACTCCAAATTTCAAATTTTTAATTCTATCCGTTCACATGCTACAGAATTGTACCAAAATTTAGTACATTTTCGGATAGTTATAGTTCGAATTTCCAAAAACCCTTTGGTACACTCCATCAAATTTCAGAGTTTTAGCTCCAAGTTCAATTCTAGCTCCACTATTAGCACTTTTTAGTACTTTTTTTGAATTACAGGTGAACCAATAGAGCTAGAATCATGAAATTTGGAGTCTGGATCACTGTTTAGGTGTTAGATTGAGACATGTAGGAAGTTTTAGAAATGTGTACTAAAATTGATACAATTTAAATTGTGAGTGAAGTGATAGAAGTGGAATCCTGAAACTTGGATTTGGGATCACTGTGGCGGTGAAGGGTTGGGGTATGTAGAAAGTTTTAGAAATTTGTACTAAGTGTACTAAATTTGGTACAATTTAAATTGTGGGTGAAGCGATAGAGTTGGAATCCTGAAATTTTGATGCACGATCACTGTGGGTATATAGGAGGGTATAGAAATTGGTAATATTATGTACTAAATTTAGTACGATTTTTTTTTTGGGTGAACCGAAAAATCTGGAATCCTGATATTTTGATTTATGAACACTGTGGAAGTGTAGGATTGGGGTATGTAGGAAGATTTGGAAATTGGTACTACTGTGTACTAAATTTGGTAAAATCTGAATTGTAAGTGAGCAGATAGAGTTTGAATCCTGAAAATGGATTTAGGATCACTGTGGGGGTGTTGGTTTAGGTTAAGTTGGAAGTCTTTGAACTTCGTACTACTGTGTACTAAATTTGGTACAATTTGTATTGTGGGTGAACCGATAGAGTTTGAATCCTGAAACTTAGATTTAGGATCACTGTGGGAGTGTTGGTTTGGGTTAAGTAGGAAATTTTGGAAATTCGCACAACTGTGTACTAAATTTGTTACAATTCGGATTGTGGGTGAACCGATAGAGTTTGAATCCTGAAACTTAGATTTAGGATCACTGTGGGGGTGTTGTTTGGGTTAAGTAGAAAGTTTTGGAAATTTGGTACAATTTGAATTGTGGGTCAACCGATAAAGTTGGAATCCTGAAACCTGGATTTAGGATTACTGTGGGAGTGTAGGTTTGGGATAGGAAGGAGGTTTTAGAAATAAGTACTACTGCTGTGTACTAAATTTGATACAATTTGAATAGTGGGTGAACCGATACAGTAGGAATGATTAAGGATCACTATGGAGGTGTAGAATGGAAAATTTGGTAAAATTTGGATTTGGGTGAACCTTTAGAGCTCGAATAATAAAATTTGATACTAAATGGTACTCAAATTTAATTCATGGTCTATATTAATTTTCTCTGAAAATAAAATAATTTTTTAATACATTTTATTTTATTTTATTTATTATATAATTTGTAAATTAATTTACAAAGTATAGATTTAAAAGGTGCTGGATAACTAGATCATATGCACCTGTTTGACGTATAGTAATATGATCGATTTAATATATATCTATATGTTTTTTAATACATTTTTAAAATATTTCCTACATTCGCTAACGAAGTTGCGGGCATATGCTAGTTGTAAATAAACGTATACGGTTTGATATCATAATTTCATCGTACAGTCCGAAGAAAACTAAATTTTGTCTTTTTATGCGTATTTTTTCACATTTCAACCACTGTAACTCAGCCAATCCTCAACCGATTTACCAAATATATATCTTGTTTGAAAGGAAAAATTATACTCCTCGAAAGTAAAGAATAATATAAATATATAAACTAAACAGAATTGGTACATTAGAACCCCTGAATGATTTTCGTGTCTCACCGTGCTATTAATGATTTCTATATTATTTTCCCGTATTTCCAGCAGAGCGTGTTAGATATTCTTGATCCGTTACGAAATATTACAATTTTCGATTTTTCTAAATTTACTTTTAAGCACCACAAATTACCGTACTCGTACAATGAGTCAATCATTCGCTGTAGCTTATCCACAGAATCGGATAATATTATAATATGATCTGCGGAATAAAGCAGAATTTTAATCGGAGAGCCCGTTCGTTTACATCATGCGAAAGTGCATCAGAGACAGGTCGTTTAGGTAAAGGGCAAACAAAACAGGGTTTAAGGGGCCATTCTCGATTTTAAAATTTCAAGATTTTCATTGGGCTGGTAAATGAATGCCAATGCATGTTAAGATTTGTAACTTTACACATATATAATTTAAGATTTAACAGAGAAGAAAAATAATTTGCAAAATTTGGTCGTGTTTTTTTTTTTTTTTTTTTGTTGTAACAGGTTGTCTGCAGACAATTGTTTTCTACTGTTGAAGACTACTAAATTTTAGTTTTAATTAGATTTGACGTGTGCCTGTGTGCAAGTGGGGTGTGGTTAGGATGAATGTAGGTGCTGGTGAGATTGATTGACAAAGCTATTGCCTTGGGATTGGGATAATGTGTTGCTGTTGTTGTAGTAGTTTATATGATTTGTATATTTTCTGTTTAAGTTTCCCTCAGTTCTGTCTCCAGATTTAGAAATGCAGCTACCTCCACTGGCTGTAACCACAGATCTTCCGGAGAGAGGTGAGTGGATTTGGCGGGGCAATTGAATATGTGCAGTGTGGTATGAGGGCCTGTACCACATGCTGGGCAAACATCCTGCATCTGGTCATCAATCCGTGCCCAATACGAATTGAGCCGACTGCACCATCCAGAACGTAACTGGGCCAAAACTACTCTGGTTTGTCTGGGCAGCTGACGTTCTTCAGCTGCTATGGGTGCAGGATCTCTAGATCATGCAGATCCTTCCTGACACGCCTGGGTGGGGGAGTCCTATCCACCATATGATGGTTGGGATGATCGTCCCTGAAACACCCGAGCAGCTACTGCAACGAAAGCATATTGCTAAGCTGACGTACGGGAAGGATCTTCGTCTCCTCATGAAGATGGTCCACTGGTGTCATGACTAGGCACCCTGTCGCTGTCCTCAGGGCGGGATTCTGACAGGTCTGAATACTTCTTTATTGCGTATCACTGGAATTCGCAGACCACACTGGAACCGCATAGCTAGCCACAGACCGACCTATCGCGCCCCAAGTGCTGCCGGCAAGCGACTTGAGGACCTTGTTCCTACTTTTCAATATATCGCAGATAGCTGTGGTTTGCTCGGACGATTTGAACATGCTGTCGAATGTGACCCCGAGTACTTTGGGATAGTTGGTGGTCGAAATTGTATGCCCCTCGACCTGCACATTCAACGGCATTCTTATCTCCGCAGTCAATGTGGTGAATAGTGTGGCTGACGACTTCGAGGCGGATATTTTCATATTCCTCGCTTTGAAGAATGCTGCTAAATCGATGAGATAGGCGTTCTACCTCACACATATGTCCTCAACAATGGGACCCGACGCCATGATCGTACAATCATCTGCATATGTAACGATTTCTATGCCGTCCGGAGGGCGTGGAATACCGGAAAGGTAGAGGTTAAACAGTTCCGGAGAAATCACTCCATTCTGGGGAACTCCCTGTTTAACTCTACGGGGTTTGGATTTCTTGTTCCGGAACTCCACGTACGACCGGGGTACACGCATATAGTTGATTATCCAACGTTTCAAACTCGGCCGGAGGGAAGTGCTCTCAATGTCCTCAAACAGCGTGGCATGGTTGACAGTATCAAAAGCTTTTGATAGGTCAAGCGCTACCAACACTGTTCTATCGCACGGCCGGTTCTGGTTAAGTCCTCTTCCTATATGCGTGGAAATGGCGTGCAACGCTGTTGTTGTACTGTGTTGTTTACGGAATCCATGCTGATTATCCGCAACT